CTTCTTATACTTGTATTTATCTATACTATATCATCTCAAAAAAATATTAGTACCAATTGAGAATTTGTTGTTATTCAAACAATATCTATCATACAGATTAAAATATGTAAGTTACTTTTTTTTTTGCAAATGACTTTTACATCCATGTCAGCACGCAAGTGAAATACATTGTTTGTTTGAAAAATTAAATTATTATCGAAAGTGCAATGTAAAGATGACGTGACAAAATAAGATTAATTAGAAAATATAATTAAAATCATTTAATTAAATTAGTTACCTTTTTGTCACTTTCATGTGACTTCACTACTTTTTTAGGGGAAGTCAAAATTGCATTAAATCTTATGTGGCAACTTTCTTACATCTCACTTTCATAACCACTTACATGAAAACAAACACCTTAATTGTTAAATGAAAGTAACTTTCTCACTTTTATCTTTCACTTGCATGCAAACAAACACCCCTAAGGGGATGTTTGGCAATCTGAAAGTGAATTTAAAATATGTAAGTTACTTTTTTTTGCAAATGACTTTTACATCTATGTCAGCACGCAAGTGAAATACAATGTTTGTTTGAAAAAAATTAAATTATTATCAAAAATGTAATGTGAAGATGACGTGGCAAAATAAGATTAATTAGAAAATATAATTAAAATCATTTAATTAAATTAGTTACATTTTTGTCACTTTCATGTGACTTCACCACTTTTTTAGGGAAAGTCAAAATTATATTAAATCATATGTGGCAACTTTCTTGCAACTCACTTTCATAATCACTTACATGAAAACAAACATCTTAATTGTTAAATAAAAATAACTTTCTTACTTTCATCTTTCACTTGCATGCAAACAAACACCCCCTTAAGTTACAAGGACTGGAAAATGGAACAGAAGTGACATTACACATAATTATTGCACAGACATCTTAACTTTCAAGATACAACAATGCTAATTTAATTCCCTCACGAAACCAATATAGCAGCTATGCCCAAGTTGCGAGCTCTAAATGCCTTTGATTTAATTATTCGGACCTCCAAGAATTCAATTAATTTGACTCCATAGAACGAACGTCTTTGAAACCAAGAATTCTTTTTGATGGAATTAAATAGCAAATAGATGGTTATGTGAGCATTCCCTTTTTTTAAAATACTATTCCTATCAGAACCACCCCATACGAGTAGGTGGTTTTGATCTTCCATTTGCAAAATGGTTTTTTTTGGGTGGTCCCCCCCAAAAAAATAATGAATTTGAACTACCCGCATGTGGCGGGTGGTTCTGATCAGATATGTAGTCCCCTTTCTTTCTTTATTATTCAGTAGATGACTATAATACGTCGATGACAACAACATGCTAAAGTGAATATTGTTCATATTTTTGTAATCTTTAAAATATTGTTCATATTTTTTTCTTCTTGCAAATAATGAATTAAACATTTATCAAACATTTCACAGATATAAATATTTTATGGCTCTATTATATTAAATTGATAAAACTTAGTAATTGATGTATTATTTTGTTAACTGGTTCGAAAATTCACTCCGTAAATAGCAGTAAAAAAACATCACTAAATTTTTTATAAATAATTATATATAAAAATCCTATTATCAATTCAACTACAAATATAACTCGATAAATAATATCCGTAATAAATAATATCTAGAAACATCACGCGGGCTTAAAACTGGTGTGTCATAAAGCAAAGAGGGATAGGAAGAATTTGCTACAGTTAACCCCGCCGTACAAGTTAAAACCGCGCCTGGTGATCCAGAAACCGAGCGTGACCTTACCATCTAGCGTGCAGCGGTGCCTTCGCCTCTTGACTCGTGCGGCCACGCGCACATCCGGCCGTCGGGATGGCCCGAAGCGTCCCAGGATCCGCGTCACCGCGGGCGCCGGCTGCGCGTATGGTACGTGGGTCACGTGATTCCCCTCGGGCGTGACGGCGCTCCGAGCGCACGTTTTGCGGACATGAGGAGAGAGTTTTTGAGATGGGGGAGCACGGCGGCCGTGTGACACGCTGACGAACATCTTTGGTTTCCACACGAGAGCGGCAGGCGCTCTAGAGGATTAGTTATTTCCTGTAACTAGCCTTAGGGCTTGTTTCTATTATTTACGGAAATGCCCAACACGGGATCCCCTACTCGTTGTTGATGCCAAAGATATGAAGATGGATATCAATAATTATCAATGACCGTATGGTTAAAGATAATGCTCCGATTTCTACTCGTGCGATGAGGCAGGATGCTATGAGACACGTGCATGAGAGGACTTTTAAACAACTCCTTGTGCTTTGGTTTGTGCATATGTTAACTGGTA